CCAACATGTCATGCTAACCACGAAATCCCACATACTCCGTCAGCGCTCCGCCCCGCTGCGCTCCAGACCGCCTGCACAAAGCAAAGCCTACAGCCTCCACTGTGGCTCCCGTCCGATCCGCTCTGAGTTCCTTGGAGATCGTAGAGGGCATGCGCGAGATGATTAAATTCAAAGCAGCAAAACATGCGGAAATGATCCATTGTTTCCGCAGATCATTAAAAATAATTACAATTCATAAAATTTTTGGGATTTTTTCATTAATTTTTTATAATTTTTATGAATTTCTTTATTTTTCGGTGTAACAATCAACATATACCGAACCGAACCGAAAACCGTGACCATGAAACCGTGAACTGAACCATGGATTTTAGGAACCGTTCCACCCCTAATATATATATATATATATATATATATATATATATATATATATATATATATATATATATATATATTAAATTTATTTAATTAACGTTGCAGCATACCAAGACAACCAAGACAGATTATATATACATTTCCTAGGCGATCCTTTCACTGATCCTGTTTGTTGTCTTCATTAAACTCAACGGCTGTCATAAAGAGCATTATATTTTGTTTGGGAACCAAATGCTTTTATGTTTTTCTTTTAGAAGATGAAGCAGTTTCTATTGGCATTTTTCACCCATGACCCTCAGGGGGGTTTACAGCCAAGAATGAATTGGCCAGGACAAGAGTCAGCTTCGGTCAGCCTGAGGCCATGGCTCTCAACCACAAGAAAGGGGACTCCAGTTGCACAATAAGTCACTGGCTCACCAAGAAGAGTTCAAAAGTCTTGGGTTTTTTCCAACTAATGGCAGTAGTTTGAAGCAGGAGATGGCTTGCAGGCCATTTTTGCATTGATCCAGGCACTGCATCACTCATGTGTGTTGAGGAAAAAGCTTAGCCATGGGGCAAATCTCTTTGTTTACCAATGAGTCTACTTCTCTATGTTGGCATTGTGACTAAAGATTCTGCAGTAAGATTTATGGAATCAGCCTTTCAGACACCTTGAGCTCTATATGTCTTACCTTCGTGAAAAAAATCTTTGATTTATATAAGACAACAAATGGGTGGATGAATACTGCATCAACAGTTAAGCCAGTTCTGTTCAAGCTTCTTTAACATGTTTCATAAAAAAAAAAAAGAGTTAATTGGTATGGGCGGGTAACTTTATGGTAGTTTAATATTTTAAATAATTTAAGTTTTAACACCACAGAAAAAAATTGATACAATTCCTATTGTTTGAATTGGGATGCCACCTGTAATGAAATTATATTTACTTGGTAAAATAAATTAACATTTTGGTGCCCATCCTCAATGTCTATTAATCATTGTATGGAACCAAGCAGAGGGACATCTTTAGTCATTTTATATTGGTTGTTTTGCAAAGTAATACATGGTTCTCGACAAAGAAGGAGAAAGTGCTGCATAAACAGGAGTAGGAGGGGTGCTTGGCAAATACGAACAGGAAAATGGGCTCTCAGGTTTGAGTGGACAAAATTATTGGTACCCCTTGTTTAATGAAAGAAAAAAACACAACAGTCACAGAAATAACTTGCATCTAACAAAAGTAATGAATAAAAAATATTTAAAAATGAAGAAATTAAATTCAGATTACTTTTCAACCATGCAACCATGCATCAAAGGAATGATTTTAAACAATATACTAAAGAAAAAACTATTTGAGGTAATAACTGCAAACAAATGACAAAATAAAATACCCTTTCAAACTGAACCCAGTGGTAAGTTCAGACGCTGAGAGCATCCCATATGGTTCTTGAGGGCCCCTTGGTGCCAGTGGGCACCACAATGATGGCCCCTGCTCTAGCACATCTAACTTGCAGACCAGTTAGCTATTTCCATACCTAGATATCTACAAGGTATTAAAGTTGAGCTATAAATAGCTTTCACATTGCTTTTACAATCAGATTTTAATTTCAAAACTAAAATTATCTTTTTTTCTTTATTCACCCTAACCTAAGGTAATGTGAGCAGATATCTGTTTGTTTAGGCCTAAATTATTTCCGTCTATCTAAGCACTTCACTTTAATTTGATATGGCAGTTTTAGATAAATGTGCCACTGGCATTCAGGGAAATCTGTCTTTAGTCTTCATTTAGCATGAAATAAAAAACTCTCTAGATGTCAGAGTCACTTGTAAGAGGAGCCAGAAATAAGCATCTATTTTCATAAAACAAAAATAAACTGCTAAACATCAGTAAGTAAAGACATATGAAACAACATAATAACTTGTTATTATTCAGATGTGCTATATATGTATTTCTTTGGTTTGATCCTTATGAATTCTGACATAGATGATTCCTCCTCCTCAGACAACTTTAAGTAACATCTTTTTAAAAAAAAAATCTAATTTATTTTCATTCCGTGCTTTCTTCTCCTCATGTCTACCTTGTATGAGTCTATCTGGAGTCCAAAAATGTGATCATTGGAAAAAGATCACAAAATGGGAAGGAAATGGAAAAATCACAGCTGCCTGAACAAGTACATCTGTCTGACATTGAATTCTAATAGAGACTGCTGCTGTTCTTCCTTCAAATACCAGTGCAGCAGGCAAATACATGCATGGAAAATCCCAAGTTTTCAGTGTTATTTTCTAATTCTTCATTTAAAAGAAAAACAAATGTCCATAATTATCTTCTGTGAAGTTCTAGAAATTACTTTGATTCCAGCTGTGTAATTACTTTCTTTTCATTCTCACTGCTAGGACTATGCCTTCTTTTAAAGGTTTCCAATCATTTAAAAGAAGTCTGTATACTGTGTACCCAGCATTTGGATTGTCTGAAAAAAAGATTTAACCCAACAGATGACATTCAGTGCAGTGCCGTGATCATTGCCTTCTAATGAATTAAATAGCCCTGACATTTCACACTACAGTGCTTGTCCTTTTCCTGCAACTGCTCTGTTTTTGTATCCTTCCCTTTCATGCAGTATGCCGGTCCCTTGTTCTTTTTCTTGTGTCACTCTTTCATGTGCCTTTTGGCTTCCTACAATGCCTGCCCCACATACCTCGCTCTCAGCCCCTTGCACCATTCTCATACCACCCCTTCTTCCTCTCTGCTCAGTTTTCTACTCATCGGTATGCCGCTACACGCCAGGCTGTCTGTTCAGGCAGATCTGACAGAGAACAGGAGAGGGAGGGAGTAACTGTTTAGCAGCATAGACAGAATCCAGCTGGAGGGTCACAACCCAAAATGACCATCCACACTCACAAGCTCACAGGCACGCACAATAAGTCATATACCCACACTTCCCTGATGGCAGGAGCAATAGGTCATATGCCACTAACGTTGGAAGAGGGAGAGAGGCAAAGGGGAAGGGACAGAAAGCACGATTCAGGAATGAGGTGGACGTGTGCTTGGTGGGCCATTATTGTGTTGTGGATGAAATGTGATAAAGATTGCAGGACTGAAAGAAAGTGTTAAGCTCGGGCACAGCTTGACAATGCTTTTGCAGTTGTCTGAATGTTTTCTTTGTGCTGGAACACAAATAATGCCAAATCCCTATATGTGCATCCAAGGGACAATGCCAAAACTCATATCCTGATAACTTTTCAAGGCTGAGAGAAAAACATACTTATCAAATAATTATCTATTAAATCAATAATGCAATTATAATCAAGATAAAATATGAGAGACCAGTCAATTTCAAATGGATGAAGGATTTGCACTCACAAATACAGAAAATTATGGTGTTACACGATGGATTTATTTAAAAACTTATTCAGAATATTTGAGGAAAATAAACAAAATGTCTTTTAGTGTAACAAATTTCTGTATTTGAAATTGATTGTGGTATACAGCTCATACTTCTTTTTGTTAATTATATAGGTGGGGGTTCAATGAACTCCTGCTGAGAGTGTTATTATATCATTAGAAGATGTAATTAAAGGAAGATCCTTTGCCAATTAATAACAGGACTCTTTCTTGTTGTTATTTTTAATAGAATTAAGACAGACAAAATAAAAAAAAAAGAAACGTTTTACATTTTTATGTTAAGCAAAAATGTTTCATACAGCATAAAGTCAGGAATAGTCAAACTAATTTGCAAGTTTATGAAAAAATACATAATGCAGTTTCCCTACAGACAAACTCTCTAATGGACACAAGTTTTAGATTTGGTCCTTTGAAATTAATTCCTAAGCATTTTTATTGGATCTTATGGGAAATTATTTTACCTCTGTTCTCTAAAAGTTGTCAACGTGAAATGTCAAGAGACTTTAATTTCCAATGAATCAAAACAACTCCAAAAGAATACTAAAAAGGAAAAAGTGAGGTTCAAAGCTTGAGTCAGTGCTATTAAATTGATCTTGATGCTAAGAGGAGGCCTAATTTACGATGAATTCCCACTGCTCATGATTATTTAGGCATCAGGGAGAAGGATGTTTTTGAACTGCATGCTTATTTATTAAACAAAGAAAATCACGCAGTAATAATCTGTCTAAAACTGAGGATTAGACATCGAACACCCGTAGGGAAGTAGAAGTTCATATCAGCGCGTATGCTGTCCATGCAAATTAACTTCCGGCTTCGGTTGTCATGGTGACTACGTCCCAACAGAAACGCCGCGTTTGGAAACAGGAGCTGTCGGTGGAAATTACACTCAAATACGGTAAATATAAACGTAAGTAAACACAGCTTTGCATCGACACATGATACAAAAACAAACATTCAGAAAAATAATGTGTACGTCGTGTCAAGGAATGAATGAATGTGTAAATTTACAGTCATTTTTACTATTTTTCAAGGCTGCACTTTTAAAAAGATGAAATTGTCCAGTGAGCTGTTTCCAAGCGAAACGTCTTTTTGTTTTACACTTGTGTAAACAAATGAAATATAAAATCTGTCTAAAGTCTAAAGTGTTAGTTTTTGTTTTTAATCCAAGTGTAGCTGGGATAACATCTGTCTCTCGGCAGGATTAAGATTAATGATTAGGTTTTAGTTTCGGAAACAGATTATTAAAGAAATTGAACAAACTTGTACTTTTTCTTTTTTCAAAATGGGGTATATTTCCTTGCAGGCAAATCGGTAAAAATGTTGTATATTTAACGTTAACGGTTATTTGTTGAAAATGTTTAATTTCCCTTTTATTTATTTATTTATTTTTTAGGGTTCTTTCAAATAATATTTTTTTTCCGTTTCAACAACAATTATCTATTTTAACCTACATGATACTGTAGACTTAGACAGATTTATTTGTCATTTTGTTTACACAAGTGTAAAACAAAAATAAATTGCGTTTAGAACAGCTCTTTGGACAATTAATTTTTTTTAAAAGTGCAGCCTTTAAAATTAGTAAAAGAAATATATATAAAAACAGTCATATAAACATATGACTGTAAATTTATAGTTCCTTTTTTATATTTTCAGTTGTTTTTATGTATTTTTAATGTATCTGTATTGCAGTTCATAAAAATTAAAAATATATATTTTCTGAGAAAGTTTGAAGATGTTTTATACAGAAAACATAAACAATGAATGGCGACTTCAGGGAAATTGATGGCAGGTTTCATAAAGTGAAAAGTGGGATATAAAAAGGTATAGGCACAAGGGTGACCACACTTTCAAGAGGATTATGAGACAGTGTTAATTTAAAGGTTTGGGGAGAATCACACAGCATGAACTGGTTGGTATGACTGCTAAACAGCCACCAGAGACAGACTTGTTCAGGAAACAGGCAGCAACTGTTGCATTCCTTATGTCTCAGCAACTAACAACCAATAGACCACATAAAGTGTCTTACCTCAGCCAAGGAGAACAAAAAGAATTGGACTTTGCTCAGTGGTATAAAATGAAAAGTACATTTGGAGATCTAAAGGGTATTATCAGGTAGAAGATGAAAGAAAATGATTCAGATGACCTAAAGGCTGCTATCAAAGCAACCTGGGCTTCTATTGCACCTTAGCAGTAGCTACCACAGACTGAATGCCTCCATGCTATACTACAGTGTACTGTAATACATGCAAAAACAAGCACAGGAAAAGGAAAAACAAATACTGTTTGAAAATAAATGAACATCCTGTTCAGATGCCTAACATTTCTTTTTTTTTATTTATTTTTTTAATATTTTTAATATTGATCTTATGTAAGGTTTTTATTTTGTGATATTTTATCTGGTGTATTTTCACTAATTTTTAAGCTTCAATCATTAATACTTAAGGGAAAAGTGAAATATTTCCCTTTCCGAAATAAATAAAAATACTACTTATATTATGACTCACTTTTTGTACTGAATTATTGAAATATAGTAACTTTTTATGTTTATTTATATAATACATAAAATTTATCTAATACATAAAATTAATGATATGCATTGTTTTTCTTATGAAAATATGGAAAAAATAATTTTTTTTATTCTCAGTGTGAATCAGAACATATGGAAAGTTGTGACTCAAAAAAAGTTAACAACAAAAACGTTATAATTTTAAATAGAAAAATGGAGAATTTAAACATGATCATGCTTAGTTTTAGGGTTAGGTTCTGAAATATGTGACCTGAATTGAGCGTATGTTTAGTTTAAAATGAAAATTTAACACAAGCACCTGTATTAACAATTAATTAGATGATCACCTATTGTCTGAAAACCTATTCAGATGACCCCAGAAACCATATTTTGCTGGGAAAATGCCACCATTTATGTTTCTAGCAGACGGGTCTCTCTTGCTAGTTTAACGCAGTGTCTGCCCCTCAGGGAAATTGACTTTATCTGTCTAAATAAATATAGAAAACCTTAATATCTGCCATATGCATTTTTTAAAAATGACCTGAATGTTAAATCTCTTTTTCATGAAACATCTATACTCTTTTCATTGTGTCCTTATTCATTTATTGCTGTGTGCGTTTTACCCCGGCAGATATTTGATTGCATGTTTTATGCTATCTCTGTTCTGCTGAAGGAGAGTTTCTTTGCAAAAGTGCAGTGAAAGGCTTCGGTGAAATACTGCAGCCACTGGAAATAAGAGGCATGAATTTAAATGACTTTGTGGTTCCTAACAACAAGACCGGATCTGTCAAGCACAATGCCAGGTAAGATGAGATCAATAATGTGATTTAGGACATTCACTAGAAGCCTATTAGTGTTCCTTGACTACCGTGCTGTGTGTCTGCCCCTCATCTGTAGGCATTCAAATTTTATCATGAGAAAAGCTTCAACAAAATTGACTTCTGGCCAAGTTATAGCCTATAAGCTTATAAGCTTTATCCTGCAGAATCTCTTTTAGGTGATTAAAAAGGTGCCCTGTCTCATACGGCTGTAGATAATTGACTGGGTAAATGCCTTGCATGGCGGTACGCTGATCCAGTAACTAATTGATTAAAGTATCGATTAGGCCATGAGAACAGGGATCTGCTAGCGCAGAAGATAAATTGAACATATATCGATAAAAGCTTCGCTGTCCTATCTGACGGAACAGATCATTTGTGTGATTGATCGTTGATACCTTATTGCATATATGTGCATGTTGTTTTTTGTTTCTATAGGAACCTGCAAAAACTGCTACTGGATACAACGACTGTGGCCAATGAGAGCAAGAAAATGGAAGAGAAGCTGGAACAGTTAAAAGAAAACATGAGTAAAGAGAAGCAGGAGAGAGGGTAAGTCGGTTTTGTGCTAAAGCAAAATAAGGAAACAATAATTCTGGAAAAAAAGTGGCACAAGAATTAGAAAGAAAAATTAGGGAAAATAAATGAAGAGAAACAAAACTAAGCATTGGATACGATGTTCATTGATAAATGTTAGACTTAAATGAAGAAAATAATAAAAAATAAGTTTTGATTCACTTAGAGAAATTAAATCTGTTTCTTTAGACATAGATTAAGTCATAATCAAAAAAACAACATTTTTACCAACTATCTCCACAGTTTTTGATGGTATGTTTGAGATGGTTTAAGATTTAAAAGCCACAGGAAACAATTAGAAAATGTGCCTTTTGTTTAAAGCATTAGCATGTCAATAAAAGAGACACCTTTTCTGGTCTCAATGGAAGTGCTCTCTAACACACAATATTATATTTATCTTAGTAGCATTTGGTTTAACTGTATATAAATGAAAACTTCAGTCTCAGACAATTCCATAAAGGTTTTTTTTTAAGAGTTGTTTTTATATATAAGAAATATTGTTTATTAATGCAAAATATCCTTTTATCATATCCCACACATATTGATCCAACTGATTTGTGAATCTAGACTACCGTATATTAGATTACACATGGCGCAGCCTTGCAGCAAGACAGTTTTGGGTTCGATTCCCGGCCCGGGGTCTTTCTGCATGGAGTTTACATGTTCTCCCTGAGCATATGTGGGTTTTCTCCGGGTTCACCGGCTTGCTTCCACAGTCCAAAAACAAGATTGTTAGGTTAATTGACTTCTCTAAGTTCTGCTTAGGTGTGAGTGCATGCATAAATGCTTGTCCTGTGTGTCTCTGTGTTGCCCTGCGATAGACTGGCTAGCTGTTTAGGGTGTACCCCGCCTCTCGCCCGTACACAGCTGTAGATAGGCACCAGCATCTTTCGTGAACCCAGCTGGGATAAGGCGTGAAAATGGATGGATAGATAGATTACACATACAGATAAAATTGCTGTTAACCTTCTTTTAAATTCAAGAAAAACCTATAATGGTAACAAAAATAACTTATATCGGACAAAAGTAATAATAGATAAAAATGTATGAAAATCGGCAAACTTCAAATGTTGCTTTTAAAACATGTTTCAACATGATAATAATTAAAAAAAAAATCTCATGAAAGATGCCTGGACTAAAATGATGGTTCCCCTTAACTTTATATTTTGTTGCACAACCTTTTGAGTCAATTACTGCAATAAGATGACTCCTCTAACTGTCAATGAGACTTCTGCACTTTTCAGCGGGCATTTTGGCCCACTCGTCCTGAGCAAACTGTTCCAATTATCTCAGGTTTGAAGGATGCCTTTTTTAGCTCCTTCCAAAGATGCTCATGATTCAAAGATGCTACAATTTAGGTCAGGGCTCATAGAAGGTAACTTCTGTGTGCTGTGTTTTACTCTAAGCCATCCTTGGGTGTTTTTAACTGGGTTTTTGTTTTTTAAACAACCAATCATTTCCATTTAACTGAACAACACCTTATTTATCTCAAAGAAACATTTAAAGTTGCAGTAATTTATGGACAGTTTTTCATAGAGATGTTGTTGGTGTTTATAGCTGTAGGCAGGAAGGAGGCTTCTTTAAATTGTTGTTGAGCTTTTTTTTTTAGGTCATTTGCCCAGCAATGGGCAAACAGCAACTTATGCTATGTTCAGACCGCAAGCACTGGAAGCAGCAAAAACGTGCATGCTGCTTAATCTTTTGATGCTACTATAAGTTTAGTTCTGATGCTCAGCTGAAGCATCTTTGCTGCTATAGCTACGTGGTCGAGAAGTGGGTCTGGTGCACGCTAGGCAGAGCTATCCTATCCTTTCTTTGCCTGTTACAATGGCGGATAAACTAGAGAGAGTGGCTTGGCTTATTTTAATGAATTATGCTACATTCAGTTCGCAGGCACTGGAAGCAGCAAAAAAAGCTTCTATTTTGCTTATATTTATACTGGACGTCTTACGTGAAGTGAGAATGTCCACCTGAAAGTTTAATCGGTGCAGTCAGTTCATCAAGATTAAGATCCTTCCTTCAAATATTATTTTGCTGTCGGAGCTGCTCAGACCGCCGGTGCATGGGTGCGGTCTGAGCAGCTCAGACAGTGTACGGGGCTCAGATCCCCATACACCGGTGGTCTGAGCGGTTGTACGACAGAGCTCTGTCACTGGGAATCCTGTTCAACTGCAGCCTGGTCGCCTCTTTGCGGTTTTTCACTGTTTAGCTGTTTCCTGGAAGGCGTTTTTCACTTATGTAATCCAAACTGCAGGCACCAGAATAATAAAATCAAAAAGATTTTGCCGGCAGGTTTCAACATTTTAAGTTAAATTAGGCGTTAATAAACCGTTTTAGATGAGCGATCATAGTGATCTGCATCAGCAGTGCTGTGTCATTCTTCCTGCCAGCTCCCAGATCAGCTCCTCTGTTTGGTTGATGTGGCGCGTCGAGCAGCAACCATTTTATTTTTCCAACTCCTGTAGCTGCTGCTTTTGCAGCTCCTCAACACGTCAGATGCTCATGACACGTAGGACCTTTTCCTGCACCTTGACATCAACCATTGAATATGCACGTAAAGTAGCAGTATAGAGGACATGTAGGACATCTTACTGCAAACACCAAAGGACCTAAACTTCCTTAGGAAGTACAGTTTGCTTTGTCCCTTCTTATAGGCTTCACAGTTTTGTCTCCAGTCTAGTTTATTGCCCAAGTGAACAACATTGTATTTGTACTTCTGCACCACCTCTACTTCTTCTCCCATGGTGTTAATAGGATTCTGCTTTTTCCTGCGTCTTCTAAAAATCTAACTGACCTCATCATCTGCTTGTTTTATACACATGGAGGTTCAAATGATTGCCACAAAGCAAAGGTGTACTCCTTGGTCATCTCTCAATAAATCTACTTTGGCTTGAACAACGATGGATGGTTCAATCTGACACTGATGTTCCTTTAGGTTGAAGTTCATCTTTAATCTCTTTGGAAAATTTTACGGGCTCTTTTGTTACCATTCGTATTTTCTTTCTCTTTGATTTATTGCTTTTGTCACATTGAATTTATGTCTGTGACCATTGTGGATTTTTCTTTAATTAAATGAGAGTTATCAACAATTTTGACCATGTGTACATAATTTTAATAATTTGCTAAATAGCCTGAGTGAAATTCTGCTGAATAAGCTTTTCCACCTTGGCATTGTGATTTTATTTTGCCTCTGAATCTTAATAATAAAGATTCTGGATTAAAGTCGTAGGGAAACGGCCGTTGCATTTCCTAATTTCCCTTGAGTCAAGCGGCTGGGATTGTTGTGGTGGAAGGTTTGCAAACCAGTTTTATTGTGGTCGGTGTCTCGGAAGCATCTTGCTAACCAGTTAGCAACTTAGTGCTAGTAGGTTTCCAACGGGAAATTATATTGGGACCAAGTGGCACTAAATTGGTGACTTAAAAACGACACTGTCAAGGAACGCTATGGACAGCGGAAACATGCAAATAGGAGGAGAGTTTTGTGTCGGGGGTCGTGGATGAGTCTTTTTATTTAGAGGAGGAAAATGGGGACAAAGATGATGTGGAAGAGGACGCCAAGGCGGCAGAAGCTTCTTTGGTGTAGAAGGCTTACAGCCGAAAATGTTTGAGCCCTTGCCTCGCAACGCTGCCAGTTCTGTTACCTCTACACCTGCCAAAGACACAGACTTCCATCCCCTTGAACTGTCATGAACCGAGGACAGATGGACCCAGTATTCAAGGCGAGACAGTCAGTAGGAAAGTTCAAAACGTTTATTAAATTTACAAACAAAACAAAAGCAGAGCTGTGGCTCGCGGACACTGCAGGCGGGGGGCGGGGCACCGCCCAATCTCAGACACTCTGTAGTGGGAGAAACACAAGTAAGTGACCACGATCATCTGACAGAAGATTATCTGAGTTGGTCACTTACCTGGTTTAACAGTCCAGACCAAGAATGTTCCCAAGTGCTGCAGTCCCAGAGGCCATGCTGGAAGCCGATCCTGGTCAGGGATCCAGACAGACAGGAACAGAAACAGGTGGCAGGATCCAGACTTCCAGGCATCCACAGGCTTCCAGGAGGGTTCAGAGTCTGACTGGGACCAGAAGCATGACCAGGTGGTCACACACAGGAGCAGACAGGATCAGGTGCAGACAGGCAGGCTCAGTGGAAGAGGGTAGCCGAGACAGGACGTAGAACCAGAACTTGAGCAGGACCTTTACACTGGTCTCCACCTTGGAGCCAGGCTTACTGGGATAAAAACTGAAACTCCCGCCATATAAAGCCAAAAACCCAGAGGACTCAGCAGGGGAAGAACAGTGGACGAGCAGGAGACGAGACAGACACAAAACCCTCTTTCCACTGGCTGCCAGGATCTAGAACATGAACCAAGGCAAAAAGTGAATGGACAGACTAACAGAAAGACAAGTAATGATCTGGCACTGAATGCTCAGGCTGAACTGAATATAACCAACAGGAAAAAGGAGAGGGGGATAAATAATAATTGAGGCAGAGAGGGAAAAACGACAGGTGAAAGGAATGACTAATTAAGGGAGAGCAAACAGGCCAGATCATGACATGAACATTGGGACGTAACTCTATGGTAAAGTAAATGATTCTTATTTTTTATTTCAACCATTGTGTATATTAGCTGCGACATATGAATCAAGATGATATGACTGAAAAAAATTGATTGACAGATGACCGTTGACATATGAATGGCCGAATTTAGGCGTACACGCTGACATAACTAACTGGCCTGCATTAGATAACGGGGGAAAAAAACACACATTTTAAGACAGGAATTTTTTTTTAGATAGAAATTTTCTAAATTTTGGGACAATATCGTCTGTTAAAGAGTACATTTATATACATGTTTAAGCCAGAATGATTTGACATTTATATATGATTTTAATACGACTTTAAAAGGCAGAATAATGACTGCTTTGCTGAGACCTGGGAAAGTTAGAAAAGTGTGGAGCAACCTGAATAGAGTTGGAA